AAAAAAAAAAAAAGTCTAAATATGATATTTGGCCTCAAATCATCTGAGGCCTGGCGCCCCCCAGGTTGGGAACCACTGATTTAGATGAATACAGTCTTGATGTCTCCTTTAAAAGTAAGGTTTTGGAACATAGCGTTATGATACTTTCAAGGTATTTATATTGCACCTTTACATAATTGGTGATCCAAACAGACCCGGACATTTCACTTTCTTTTTACAATGTAGGACCTTTAAAAAGAATACATCTGTGTCTACAGTTCATCTCCAGTTGATGTGAAAGAGGTGTTTTCCCAGACCTGCTTGAAGTTCCCGTTCTTGCGCTGCTCCCAGTCCATCATGTCGTGGAAGATTGGGATCATGATGTTCCTGACCTCCAGCTGAGGAACCAAGGTCACTCCCAGGAACGGCCCGATCATCCCGGGGATGAAGTGGATCTTATTCTCTCCTGCAGATCAACCAGAAAACACATATCTACCTGTCTGCGGCCAGTGATCCATATCAGGACAGAAAGGGGCTTTGAGGGGCTTTATTTCCTTCTCTTGTTTTATTTATACTGTTTAAATAAAAAGAGTAAATCCTACCAAGGTTCTGCCACATGCTGAACAGCTCGTAGGTCATCATCACTCTCATGTCTCCGTACCTGCACACAATCACACATTCATTTATTATTATTGTAAATGTATTTCCGTGCTAATTCTCTAAAGAATTAAGTATTTCTAGTTGAGTTGAGGAAATTCTCCCCCTTCTGAAGCTAAATAAAGTCTTTAAAAATAATCTTTAATCAGCATAAATGCAGCAGTAAGATGAATCCAGGAAACTATATATATTACTTAAAATGTTTTAGGGGTTTAAATTGATTTCTAAAAATTAAATATTGTTCAGTTTAGTTCTTCTTGAAGGATATCACTGTCTTATTTAGTCAATGACAATATTTCCCCCAGTTGGGTGAAGTGTGTGTGTGTGTGTGTGTGTGTGTGTGTGTGTGTGTGTGTGTGTGTGTGTGTGTGTGTCTGTGTCTGTGTCTGTGTGAGAGAGGGTGTGTGTGTGTGTGGGTGTGTGTGTGTGTGTGTGTGTGTGTGTGTGTGTGTGTGTGTGTGAGTGTGTGTGTGTGTGTGTGTGTGTGTGGGGTGTGTGTGTGTGTGTGTGTGTGTGTGTGTGTGTGTGTGTGTGTGTGTGTGTGTGTGTGTGTGTGTGTGTGTGTGTGTGTGTGTGTGTGTGTGTGTGTGTGTGTGTGTGTGTGACTGTGAGTGTGTGTGTGTGTGTGAGTTCTTACTTGTCTAGCACCTTCTTCCTCTTGGCTGTGTGTGTGTGAGANTCTTATCAACTGTTGCTGTCAGGAATACATTCACTGTAGACCACACAGATAACATCACACGTGACACCTCTCAGGAAGATTATTTTACACAGCAAGATCTGATACCTGTCAATATAATAATAATAATAATAATAATACATTATATTTTTATAGGGCTTTTCAAGGACTCAAAATAGGACTATCAAACTTGATCAACCGGCATTGATTGATGGGGGGGCTAGAGATGAGTTTTGAAAAGGGACTGGAATACTGTGAGGGTCTCAGAATAGCGGAGATCTTTGCATCGATATGTTCAAACCGTTTTTTTTCAAAATGTAAAAAAAATTCAAAAATTCAAAATAGTGAAAAATTAAATATAAAATATTTCTAGTGTGAACCGAAATATAATACTAAATATTATACAAGTGATTTTTCCTAACCAAAATGACAAAAAACACATGTTATTCTAATACAGGTCCTTTTAGACCCACTTATGGAAGAGTGTGGGTCCAGCCACTCGGGCATCGAAGGGTTAAAGTGCCGTACCTTAAAGTCAAACTCAGCTTCAGTGAAGTTCTTGTGCAGAGCGGGAGAGAGGTACTGAGCTGTGGTCAGGATGATGCTGCAGAACACAAACACAGAAATAAAACAGGCTGTAATGTGAAACACTTCCCACCTCCATCTCAGTCTTTATTTATTTATATAGCACATTTAAAAAACAACCTCAGGTTAAAACAATCATTAAAAACATCTTACAAAGCAGAATAACTAGAAACATATAAACACACATACTAGTACTAAAAGTGCAAAGAGGTCCTATGCACATGTATGTTCTGCAAAGTCTGAATCTGTTCTTATTTATTTGATTCTCTTTCCTGCACATGAAATGAACATTGCTTTAGAAAACCGTGCTGTTATTATTTATGTAATTTATATTATTAGTTGTTATTATGTAATTGTCTCTACTTCTCTACTAGCACCAGGAAAATATAAATACCATGTCATATCATTAGTGTTATTGTTATTACTCTTATTGGGTCTTACTTGCTGGTGAGCAGCCTCATGATGTTCCAGTCTCGAGGGAAAATGCTGAGCTTCATCAGATTTCTGAACACACACAAGATCTTCAACAAGAACTCCTGGAGAGAGATTAGGAGGAAAGGAGGAAGGAGGTGTCCGTAAATAATAATAAACATCTTTTGATCAATTCTCATGAAAACAGGATCGGCCGTGAATTTACGGAGACGTTTGAAATTAAACACCCGATAATCTAAAGCCTGAGAATAAAGACAAGTAGTATCAAACCCTTAAATGGGCATTCATATATAAATATTTAGGAACATTTATTGATTGCTAATTTCCACATAAAACTGTTATTACACCCATTACGTAAGCGTCTTTGAGTTTTTAGAAAGGCGCTATGTAAGTGTCACCCTATACTCTTATTACACCTTTATTACACCTATGTCCCAGTGTTATTAAACCAATTGTATACATGGACACAGCCTCTTTAATGATTGTATCCCCAGAATACAGAAACCATTCAAGAGTTAAAGTAAATAACTAGAATTGGAGAGAGTTGATGTATCACTCAGAAACATTTACTATCTCAAAAACAGCAGCACTAACCGAACACCTTAAAAACAAGAGTTACCCCAAGTTCTAAAAATTCCCAACACATTTATTTAATCCCTGTAAACTTTGGTTTGAAATGCTTTAGTTATAGAAAACACATGTGTATGTCCAAGGGAAAATACTGATACGAATGTGAAGCATTTCAGAGTAACTTCAGTCGGGATCCCCAGACGTTTAGTGTTTTCAAACGTTGACATATTGCAGGAACAGCTGCAGCCTGAAGCGTTGCACAGTGACTACTTTAATATGTCATTCATTAAAAGCTGCCGTCTCTCGTACCTTCAGCTCATCTTTGCTCTGGAAGTTTTCCACCAGTCGTTGGAAGTGGATGTCTGTCATCTGACGGAGGAGCGACAGCAGGCAGGACACGTACTCTCCCTGCCAATAGGAACGCAGCGGACAGCCATGTGAGCCAATCACAGGGAAGCAGGAAGTAAACATTCAGGGGGAGATGAATGCAGGGAAACAAGCGCTCTTAAAAAATAAATAAAACATCCCTATTCTTTAGCCTTCTGCTATAAAGGATGGTCTTATTTTAATTCATGCATCTGGGTGGATTCAGGACAGAGGGACATGTCAGGGCCGTTGTAGGGAAGTTTAAAGTAGTAAGACAACGAGGAGAAACACACCGTTATTCTCTGGGATTATAAAGTCAGACATTTAGAGACAAAATCAGCCATTCTCTGAGATCAACCATCTGAGGTCTGTTTACACGCCTGGGCTCTTTATTTGTAAAAATGCTTTTAAAACATGAACCCTGTGCTGCACAAATCAAGATATATACATGTTTATTTTCATAACAAGCTAAGCTATCAGCTTAGTCACATGGACATACACATAGTTATGAGAGCATACGTACAAAAGAGAAAACAAGACTAAAATGTCATCATTGAGAAATCACGACTCTTGGAATCAGAAAATTGTTATTTCAAGTCTTGGTGACCATGGGGAAAGAATAGAAAGAGCACCAAAATCAATATGTACAGTGGGGCAAACAAGTATTTAGTCAGCCACCAATTGTGCAAGTTCTCCCACTTAAAAAGATGAGAGAGGCCTGTAATTGTCATCCTAGGTATACCTCAACTATGAGAGACAAAATGAGAAAAAAAAAATCCAGAAAATCACATTGTCTGATTTTTAAAGAATTTATTTGCAAATGATGGTGGAAAATAAGTATTTGGTCAATAACAAACAAACAAGATTTCTGGCTCTCACAGACCTGTAACTTCTTCTTTAAGAGCCTCCTCTGTCCTCCACTTGTTAACTTTATTAATGGCACCTGTTTGAACTCGTTATCAGAATAAAAGACACCTGTCCACAACCTCAAACAGTCACACTCCAAACTCCACTATGGCCAAGACCAAAGAGCTGTCAAAGGACACCAGAAACAAAATTGTAGACCTGCACCAGGCTGGGAAGACTGAATCTGCAATAGGTAAGCAGCTTGGTGTGAAGAAATCAACTGTGGGAGCAATTATTAGAAAATGGAAGACATAACAAGACCACTGAATAATCTCCCTCGATCAAGTTCTCCCACTTAAAAAGATGAGAGGCCTGTAATTGTCATCCTAGGTATACCTCAACTATGAGAGACAAAATGAGAAAAAAAAAATCCAGAAAATCACATTGTCTGATTTTTAAAGAATTTATTTGCAAATGATGGTGGAAAATAAGTATTTGGTCAATAACAAACAAACAAGATTTCTGGCTCTCACAGACCTGTAACTTCTTCTTTAAGAGCCTCCTCTGTCCTCCACTTGTTAACTTTATTAATGGCACCTGTTTGAACTCGTTATCAGAATAAAAGACACCTGTCCACAACCTCAAACAGTCACACTCCAAACTCCACTATGGCCAAGACCAAAGAGCTGTCAAAGGACACCAGATTTTCTGGATTTTTTTTTCTCATTCTGTCTCTCATAGTTGAGGTATACCAGGATGAAAATGACAGGCCTCTCTCATCTTTTTAAGTGGGAGAACTTGCACAATTGGTGGCTGACTAAATACTTTTTTCCCCCACTGTATCTACAATATTTACAACAGAAAGTCATGGCGCTTTTATGTCAAGAAGGTAAGTTGTGCCATTCGTCATAGCAGTAAAACAACAGCCTCTGATTCGACTTCACGCAATGCTCCATGGGACGCATGGTTAGATCTCAAATCTTTATCTAACTCCTAAAACATCCACATCTACTTCCATCGTGGATACAAGTTCATAAAAGACATCCATTGGTTGTTCCTACGCTTCTTGAAATCTCTAAAACAACAAATCGCCTGAAAATTGTACAGGGCTAAAATGTACGAGAAATAAACACATATTCTCACCACACACACTTGCCATGTATGACGCAGCACACACACTCAATATGACCTTACTAAATTATACTTTGACATCAGATCCAGCAAACACCTGTGACTGTCTTCCACTATCATCATATTATAATAACAAGCAGCCATTATTCAGAACGAACACCTCAGCGATTCAGACGCATATCTCCATGTTCCTGGACAACAACAAAAAACCCAGAAATGTCTGACTTTCGTCTCCTAAATGTGTTCAATCTTCAATCCTAGAGGATATCTTATTTTATGTCGCTTCAAATTATAAAATGAATGCCTTTTTTGTATTTTGTGTCAGGGTAACGCAAGTCAGTGGAAGGAAGAGGTAGCTATGCACGACCAAAACAAAGCTTAAAAAAGGGAATATTGTGAATAAAACGTGTGATCTTTTCTGTAGTTATCCGGCACTCAGGATTCAAACCCATGTTAGTTAGGAAAGTCGATGAAGAGGACGATAAAGCGCCCGAAAGCAAGGCATGAGTTCCAGCCACAGAGGAGAGGAGTTCAATGTCAATGAATTAGATGATGAAGCTACAACAGAAATCATTGAAACACACATTTATACAACACGTCTGTAACTGAAGATATGAACTGCTTTCCAGGAAATACATCAAACAGACGAGGAGCACAACAGGAAGTGATACAACGTGCAACAGAGAGGAGGAGGAGGAAGAGGAGGAAGACTGAGGTGGATGAGTAAATATTCATTGCTTAAAAGTACGAAGACAATAACGTTCAAATGCTCCATTACATTTAAAAGTGCTACTTACTCAAAGTATTATCAGCAAATATAAAAGCACTTATTCTGCAGAAAAAAGGCCTCAGTGTGTGATAGATTCAGCGGTAAGTATTCACTTAAGTACTTTTTTTGATATATTTGTACTTTACTTGATTATTTCCATTAAAAGCTACTTTATACTTATTTTATGCTACATTTCAGACGAGAATATTGGACTTTTTACAAAATGTATTTAGCACTCATAGTTACTTTGTATATATACAAAATCCTAAATGCTGATAGAATAATGCAGTTACTAATCTGCGCAGTATGGGACACAATGCAGTGTGCAGGGGCTCAGTCAGTAGGGGCTTGGACTGTGAGCCGTAGGGTCGCCGGTTCAAGTCCCAGACCAGACCTAAATATGGAGTGTGGACTGCTACTTGGAGAGGTCCCAGTTCACCCCCTGCCCTGCCGTGGTGCCCTTGAGCAAGGCACCGGACACCCCCCTTCCCATTGTGCTAGACTCCTGGTGCTAGACTCCTGGTGCTAGACTCCTGGTGCTAGACTCCTAGTGCTAGACTCCTGGTGCAAGACTCCTGGTGCTAGACTCCTGGTACTAGACTCCTAGGCTCCTGGTGCTAGACTCCTAGTGCTAGACTCCTGGTGCTAGACTCCTGGTGCTAGACTCCTAGTGCTAGACTCCTGGTGCTAGACTCCTGGTGCTAGACTCCTGGTGCTAGACTCCTAGTTCTAGACTCCTAGTGCTAGACTCCTGGTGCTAGACTCCTGGTGCTAGACTCCTGGTGCTAGACTCCTGGTGCTAGACTCCTGGTGCTAGACTCCTAGTGCTAGACTCCTGGTCACTAGACTCCTGGTGCTAGACTCCTAGTGCTAGACTCCTGGTGCTAGACTCCTGGTGCTAGACCCCTGGTGCTAGACCCCTGGTACTAGACTCCTGGTGCTAGACTCCTGGTGCTAGACTCCTGGTGCTAGACTCCTGGTGCTAGACTCCTGGTACTAGACTCCTGGTGCTAGACCCCTAGTGCTAGACTCCTGGTGCTAGAC